GAGGTTGGTCAAGCATGTTATCTTCCTTGAGCTGAGCCAACCTGAAGTTGTGTTCTCCATTGACTCTAACAAGTGCTCTTTTTATTGTATCTCTCTTAGGAGACTCCCATTTCATGGTCAGATGCGTGTGCTGTTTGTCTAGACAAGTTGGTCGGCCTCCCTTAGATCAGCATGGTGAGGTGCAAAGCAGCCCTGTGTCGTGCTGAATGGATTTACTCTGCCATCTGGCAGTTTAATGACGTATCTGTAATGGGAAAAGGACTGTGCAGGAAACAACATGCTTGGTCAGTAGATTTAGAGATCAGAAAATGAAATCAGAAGCTAGATTTTGCAGAGCACCTTTTCCATTTGACAGTTTTCCTTGGGGAGGGTGTGTGGAGTTAGTACATCTATTTCTAGTTGTTGTTTTTTTTTAAGATTCATTTATTTTTATTACGTAGTAAGATATTCAGAGAAGAGGCGAGACAAAGAGGAAGATATTCCATCCAATGATTCACTCCCCAAGTGGCCGCAACGGCCAGCGCTGCGCCGATCCGAAACCAGGAGCCAGGAACCTCTTCCAGTCTCCCACATGGGTGCAGGGTCCCAAGGCTTTGGGCCGTCCACGACTGCTTTCCCAGGCCACAAGCGGGGAGCTGGATGGGAAGTGGAGCGTTGGAACTGGAACCGACGCCCATATGAGATCCCAGCACGTTCAAGGCGAGGACTTCAGCCACTAGGCCACAGTGCCAGGTCCTAGTTGTCCTTTTGATTGTTCTAGCAGATTGGTTCTAGCACAGCAGATGATTTTGTAAGGTACCAATGTTCTGTATGTGGTGTTGCTTTATCCCTGTTTACAGCAGTATTTTATCTTTGCATGATTTGAATCTGTGCTATATTTTATATGATATAATCTCAATAGCAGTTAAATTGCTGAACACATCGAGGATAAAATGGGGATTTTTTTTGAGATATAAGACCTATAAGGTTTTGAGCTATAAGAGAAGATAGTTCAGATTTTATCCAGCAAGTAGTACTATGTCTATAGAAAGAAAACAGGAAGAAAGGCTGAGTGAGCTGAATATTTCCAGTGTATTTAAGCCTGTCTTATTTTAATATGGTAGCCATTGGCCACATACGACTAATATTTAGATTTCAGTTAATCAAATATGCTTCAAAATTCAGGCCTGCATTCTCCATAACCACATTTCAAGTATGCTGCAGTCACATGTGACTAGTTACTGAGGTACTGGACAGCACAGACAGGGAATAGTTCCATCATTGCAGAAAACAGTCATTGATATAAGCAAGGAATTAAATTCTTTCTCTGGTTTCTGTAAGGAATTACTCATTTCTCTAACGTTCATTAGACTAAAATGCAAAAGAATCATCATCTATGGCATGTTTAAAGTGAGTATTTTAGCCCCCTCTCCAGGCTCCGAGCCCTTCTTTAGAGTAGTCCACCACTACCACTGCCACCGTGACACTGCAGGTTAAAGCCACTACCTGCAACCCCAGCGTCCCACATCAGAGTGCTGATTCAAATCCGCACTGCATCCAGTGTCTTGTTAATTCACCTGGGAAATTTACAGCCATTTGGGGAATAAATCAGTTGAAGGAAGACCTCTCTGTCTCCCTTTCTGTCACTCTGCCTTTCAGAGAACTAAAACAAATATTAAGGGGGAGAGGTGGTTCAGTGACCTGCAGTGAAAAATAAATATTGAATGAGAAATATGGAAGTTGCCGATCTCTTGATTTCCCATTCATTTCATTCCTTCATTGTTGATCTTTTTATATCCCAGTAATTGAGTGTAAGCATCATGTGTACCCAACTTGTACTCTTAACTGATATCAAGGAGCAATATAAATATGTTTCCATTTGACTATGCCCTAAAAAAGGGAATAAAAATGATCATTTCACTACCATCCAAGACTGTGTGCAAGGGTAATTCTGACAGAATATTTTTATTACTAAGAACCAAGCACCCATAATCCTGACATTATAAGAGTAAAACCATAAAAGATCTTTTTTTGGGAGGAGATTATAACTAGTCAGAGAATGGACACACACATCCAGAGAAATGATGAAAGGACACTTAGCAACAAGTGAATGGGGACATAATAATGAAGGGGGCCAGCACTGTGGCGTAACAAGTAAAGCCAACACCTGCAATGGCAGCATCCCTTAAGGACCCCGTTGGTTCCAGCTGCTCCACTTCTCATCCAGCTCCCTGCTGGTGGCCTGGAAAGGCAGTAGAGTAGGATGGCCCAAGTCCTTGGGCTCCTGTCCCCATGTGGGGGACCTGGAAGAAGTTCTTGAATCCTGGCCTCAGATTCCAACCATTGCAGTCATTTGGGGAGTAAAGCAAAAGATAGAAGATCTCTCTGTCTTTCTCTGAAACTCTCCCTTTGAAATAAATAAATCTTTCTTTTTAAAAGCAATAACTAGAATAATAAAAACATAATATAGTAGAAACTAAATCCTGGCAGTGTTCAAAGGGAAAACAACCTTTAACGAGATGGGTGAATCTGGGGTGTTTTCTTTTGTGTGGTCTGAAGGTTTCCTTTACACAGATGGTAAGAAGGGGAAGCCCCTAGAGTTGGCCCCTGTAATATACTTACTTTGTGGGTTTTAGTAATAGACCAGGCCAAAAGGGCATCTGAACAACAAAGGGACAGCCCAGAGTATGCAGGGTTAAGACTCTGTGGCTCACCTGGCAATCACTGAGCTGCATTTGCTCAAAGGAAGCTCAGGAATCACCTTTTTGGGATTTTAAATACTGATATTGAAGGGGGAAAGAAATAACCAGGGTTCAAAAGAATAAAAAGCTTTCTTGTAAAATAGTCATCAACAGAAGCCAACATTGTGATATAGTGTGTTAAACCACCCTCTACAATACTAACATCCCATAAGGACACTGGTCTGAGTCCCGGCTGCTCCACTTCTTTTTTTTTTTTTTTTAAGATTTATTTTATTTTTATTGGAAAGGTGGATATACAGAGAGGAGAGACAGAGAGGAAGATCTTCCATCCGATGATTCACTCCCCAAGTGAGCGCAACAGCCGATGCTATGCCGATCTGAAGCCAGGAGCCTCTTCTGGGTTTCCCACACGGGTGCAGGTTCCCAAAGCTTTGGGCTGTCCTCGACTGCTTTCCCGGCCACAGGCAGGGAGCTGGATGGGAAGTGGGACTGCCGGGATTAGAACCGGCACCCATATGGCATCCTGGGCATGCAAGGTGAGGACCTTAACCACTGCACCATCGTACCGGGCCCCCGGCTGCTCCACTTCTGGTCCAGCTTCTTGATAATGTACTTAGGAAAGCAATGGAAAATGGCCCAAGCTTTCGGGCTTCTGCATCCACATGGGAGACCTGGATGAAGCTCTTGACCACCAAAACCAGCAGATGGAAGATTTCTCTGTGTAACTCTGCCTTTCAAATATGTAAATAAAATCTTATAAAAGAAAACAAAATAGTTATCCAGAAGCCAACATTGTACTGGACCACAACACCGTATGTTAGGATGCTAGTTTGAATCCCGGCTACTCCATTTTCAGTCCAGCTTCCTTTAAGGAAGGCAGCAGGAGGTGGCAGAAGGCAGCCTCTGCCACCCAAATGCGACCAGGATGGAGCTCCTGGCTCATACCTTCAGCCAGGTCCAGACCTAAGCTGTTACAGCCATTTAGGGAATGACCCAGTGGGTGAAAAACTATCTTCTCTCTTCTTCTTTTCCTCTCTCTCCTCTCCCTTTCTGTCACTCTGCCTTTCAAAAAAATTAATCTTTTAAAAAATTAGTTTTCTGACTTATTTCCCTTGAGAAGTTACCAGTGGGAATTCTGTCCACTAGGGTTCTCACAGATACTGAAGAAATGTCTGGGGTGGGGGGAGAAAGCTCACTGTATAGCAACATTGTTTTTAAAAGATAAATTTATTTATTTACTTGACAGGCAAAGTGACAGAGGGAAATGGGAGGTGGGGAGAGATCTTCCATCTGCTGGTTTACTCCCCTGATAGCTGCAACAGCCAGGACCAGGCCAGACTGAAATCAACAGCCAGGAACTCCGTCCTGGTCTCTGGAGTGAATGGCAGGGACCCAAGCACTTGGGCCATCTTCCACTGCTTTCCTGGGTGGCTTGGCAGGAAGTGGGACTGGAACCAGAACTATCACAAGTGGAGGCTTTATATGCTTTACTACAACATGGGTCCCTGACTACTGTTTTAAAAAGCATTTTCACATGGCTCATATGGCAGATTTGTTGCTTTTTTCCCCCTTATTTCTCAGTAGAGGCTTTAATACCATCAGTCATTGCTCTTCTCATCCTAACTAAAAATTTTAACTCCTTACTTACCCATGCTTTTACTATAAAGAAGGTGCACACACACCGTTTTTATTTATTTTTTTTTTTTAAGATTCATTTCTTTGTATTGGAAAGGCAGTTTTACAGAGAGAAGGAGATACAGAAAGAAAGATCTTCTGTTCACTCCCTAAGTGGCCACAGTGGCCAAAGCTGAGTTCAATAGCAAGCCAGGAACTACTTCTGGGTCTCCCACGCAGGTGCAGGGTCTCGAGCATTTGGTCCATCCTTGACTGCTTTCCCAGGCTACAAGCAGGGAGCTGAATGGGAAACAAAACAGCTGGGACACAAACTGATGCCCTTGTGGGATCCCAGTGCTTGCAAGGTCGAGATTTAGTCACTGAGCCATTGCACTGGGCCACAACCACACTTTCTACAAGATGTAATCGTTCTTTGGAAAATGACACATTAAAATGTTACTTAAATGGACACTTGCAGTCTACCTCCCTTAGCTATAAATCATTAAAATGATACTCTGTGCCGTATGGGAGGATCTTTTTCTTATCTGTCTTATCTGTATCAACTCTGCTTTGAATACATCAGAATTCATGTAAGACTGCCTTTTTATTTGAACCTCTTGTAAGCCTTTTTCTAAGAAAGTATTTCACTAAAAGTTTTGTTTTTTTTTTTTTCCTTTTTTGGGGTCTCTATCGTACCAGGTTAAGAGCGTGGCAACCTCTCTAAGACATGGATAGATGCAAACATGTAGGGCGGTTACGGCTCGCCCAGGACCACTCCATCCTGAACCCTCAGAAGTGGCGCTGCCTGGAGTGCGCCACCACAGAGTCTGTGTGGGCTTGTCTCAAGTGCTCCCACGTGGCCTGCGGCCACTACATCGAAGACCACGCCCGAAAGCACTTCAAGGAGACGGGACACCCTCTGGCCATGGAAGTACGGGACCTGTACGTGTTCTGTTACCTGTGCGAGGACTACGTGCTCAATGACAACCCCGAGGGGGATCTGAAGCTGCTGACAAGCTCCCTCCTGGCGGTCCGCGGCCAGGAGCTGGATCCGCCGGTGCGACGCGGACGGACGCTGCGGTCCATGGCTGCGGGTGAGGATGTGGTCCCGCCGCAGCGCGCGCCTCAGGGACAGCCGCAGATGCTCACGGCTCTGTGGTACCGGCGCCAGCGCCTGCTGGCCAAGACCCTGCGGCTGTGGTTCGAGAAAAGTTCCCGAGGCCAGGCAAAGCTGGAGCAGCAGCGGCAAGAGGAAGCGCTGGAGCGCAAGAAGGAGGAGGCACGGCAGCGGAGACGCGAGGTCAAGCGACGGCTGCTGGAGGAACTGGCCAGCGCCCCTCCGCGCAAGAGTGCACGCCTGCTCCTGCACACGCCACGCGCCGCCAGCGGCCCCGCAGCCCTGCCTACCTCACGCCGAGTGACCCCCGCCTCCACGGTGCTCAAACCACGTCGCCAGCCAGCAGTGGCCCCGGGCGTCACGGGCCTGCGCAACCTGGGCAACACGTGCTACATGAACTCCATTCTACAGGTGCTCAGCCACCTCCAGAAGTTCCGGGAATGTTTCCTGAACCTCGACCCTTCCACAACAGAACACCTGTTTCCCCAAGCCACCAACGGGAGGACTCAGCTCTCAGGCAAGTCGGTCAGCAATTCAGCCACTGAGCTGTCAGCGCGCAGCCACAGGGCCGAGGCATGCCAGCGGGAGGGCTTCTGCTGGAAAGGTGGCGCGTCCATCAGCCGGAGCCTGGAGCTCATCCAGAACAAGGAGCCCAGCTCGAAGCACATCTCCCTCTGCCACGAACTGCACACGCTCTTCCGAGTCATGTGGTCGGGGAAGTGGGCCCTGGTGTCACCCTTCGCCATGCTGCACTCGGTGTGGAGCCTGATCCCTGCCTTCCGTGGCTACGACCAGCAGGACGCACAGGAATTTCTCTGTGAGCTTCTGCATAAAGTGCAGCAGGAGCTGGAATCGGAGGGCGCTACGCGCCGGATCCTCATCCCCTTCTCCCAGCGGAAACTCACCAAACAGGTCTTAAAGGTGGTAAACACTATATTTCACGGGCAGCTGCTCAGTCAGGTAGGTGTGTACCCAGCCGACAAGGGAGAGACTTGGGTGTCAGCCTGGGCTCCTGGCGAACCCCATTTGGGAACATTGGGCCCATCTACGTAGCCAGTGTTAGCTGGGAGTGTGTAATTGAGGCTAGCCCTGGTGCCTTTCGCTGAACTGTGCATTGTGATGGCCTTGTTGGTGAACGTAAGGGCTGTTTCTATCCTGGTTCATTTGACCATTCAGCTTTATTTTCAGCGCATGATAAGTATAGGTATATAATATTTTTATTGTTATAATAATATGATATATAATTATATAATATATAATTAAACATAATTATATAATATATAATATAATATTGTTATTTCTATGTCATCAATGTTAGAAAACAGAATAGTTTATCTGAAATCCTAGTCTCCCTAGTGGTTTAAAATAGAGTTCTTCCTCCATATGTACAAGGAAGGGAGGAAGCCAGGAACACAACAGAGACCCTTTTCATTTCCTGGGTCTGTAGCCACACAGAGCCCTAGGCAAAAAAAAAAAAAAAAAAAAAAAAAAGATGCAGACTGCACATCTTTCTAGCAGGGCTAGCAGTTGGGATGCTGGTGTCCTGTGTTGGAGAACCTGGGTTCAGGCCTGATTAGTGTCCTCCTTCACTGGGAGGCAGCAGTTAACTGATTGCTCAGGTGATTGGGCTCCTGTCACTCACAATGGAGCCCCAGATGGAGTTCCCAGCACCTAGTTGAGGCTCTGCTTGATGTAGCCGTTTGGGAAGTGGATCAGCAGATGAATGTCTGTCTTTCTCTCTCTCCATCACCAATAAATGTTTCCAAATGTGGTTGGGGAGCTAGCAACTTAGAAAATTCAAGTAAACCATCTATGCTGTGCTAATCAAGTTTTATGTCTTGGTTTTTAGATTTTGAAAGAAAAGTGGGATGGGAAGAGTTTTTTTTTGAAGGTTCCCCTCACCTACTCCTGCACCCCCACCCCACACAGAAATGCAGTATTTCCCAGCACTGCCTCCGCATACTCTCCTTGGGAAGAAAGGTGCTGGGGGAAGTGTATAGTGAGGTGAGGCGTCTAACACAGCACTCTGAGACTGTGTACACGGAGGGATTAGTACAGAGCCTTCAAGAAACAAGGGCAAAAATGGCAAGATGGGCAGTGTGGAAGCAGAATGCAGGGGTGACAGAAGCTGCCAGGGACCTGTGAATTCTCCATCTCCGCCTAGGATGCCATGAAGGCACCGAAGGCCAGAGCAGACTTTGGGAGAGGAGAAAGGGTGGATATAATCTCTTGGTTGTGTGGTTTTGCATTCCCAGCCAAGGCCATGTGTTCTAATTCTTCTTATTAAAATTTGGTTTATTTGAATACTAAAATTTTAAAATCACAGCCTTTAGTTTTTACAAAACTATGTATCTTATTTAAAGCCAACTAAAATGTGTGTGAGAACTAACATTTATAACCTATAACTCAAATCTTTTCACTGTAGGTCACTTGTGTATCATGTAATTACAAATCCAATACCATTGAGCCCTTTTGGGATCTTTCCCTGGAATTTCCAGAGCGCTATCACTGCATGGAAAAGGGATTTGTCCCTCTGAATCAGACAGAGTGCCTGCTCACCGAGATGCTGGCCAAGTTTACAGAGACGGAGGCTCTGGAAGGGAGAATCTACGCTTGTGACCAGTGTAATAGTGAGTGCCATGTGGAGGGGTAGGGGCCGTGGGTAGTGGGGATGTGTCAATTGAAGGGGATTCTTTCGCCCCTCAAACCCAAAGTAGTGTTTGAATGATTTTAAAGCATTTTTACATTTTTAAAAAGGATTTATCTATTTATTTGAAAGGCAGCTATAGAGAAAAGGAAAGACAAGAAGAGAGAGCAAGTGTGCATGTCTGTCCACTGGTTCACTCTCCAAATGGCTGCAGGAGCCGGCAAAGGGCCAGACTAAAGCCTGGAGCCAGGAGCTCATCCATGTCTCCCACTTGTATGCAGGAGCCCAAGTACTTTGGCCATCTTCTGCAACCTTCCCAGGCACATTTATGTCTGTCTGTCTGTCTTTCTTTCTTTCTTTCTTTCTTTCTTTCTTTCTTTCTTTCTTTCTTTCTTTCTTTCTTTCTTTCAAGATTTATTTATTTTTATTGCAAAGTCAGATATACAGCGAGGAGGAGGAGAGACAGAGAGGAAGATCTTCCGTCTGTTGATTCACTCCCCAAGTGACCAGTATGGCCAATGCTGCACCTATCCGAAGCCCGGAGCCAGGAACTTCCTCCAGGTCTCCCTCATGGGTGCAGGGTCCCAAAACTCTGGGATGTCCTCGACTGCTTTCCTGCAGCAGGGAGCTGGTTGGGAAATGGAGCTGCTGGGACTAGAACCGGCACCCATATAGGATCCCAGCATGTTCAAGGCAAGGACTTTAGCTGCTAGGCTACTGTGCCAGGCCCAGCAGGCACATTTCTGAAGCCAAGAGCCCAGAGCCACTTCTGGCTCTCCCACACTGGTGCAGAGTCCCAAGGCTTTGGGCCATCCTCAACTGCTTTCCCAGGCCACAAGCAGGGAGTTGGATGGGAAGCGGGACTGCCAGGATTAGAACTGGCACCCATATGGGGTCCTGACACTCTCAAGGTGAGGACTTCAGCCTCTAGGCCATGGTGCTGGGCCCATGGGACTGCTCATATATTTTAAAACAAAGGCCCATGAGTTGGGCCGTGTTTGACTCCTTCTGGTGGTCATTGCTTGATATGTAGAGGCAGTTGAAACTGTGGCTCTAGAAAAGCATGCTTTTATATAGACTTGGGAAATTATTCTTTTAGCAAAAACATCTGCCAAGAGTTAGGCTAAAATCTGTTTTAAAAATTTTCTCACCGAAACCCAAGTTTTGAAATACATTGTTAAGTGGCAGCTTCAGGGATATTTTCTGCATTTTCCCCCTTTTCCATGTGTCTGAAATGTTCATATTTAAGAGGGAGTTATAAGGGCAGACTTTCTAATGACTTTCATCTTAAAGTGGAACCGTTTTCATATGGTTTCATGGGCATCATGTACAGGAGCCCTTCTGTCTGGTCATACTAACACCAGTGCTTTCACTCACCCAATATGTACAGAAGAAATTCAAAGCAGATATAGAGAAGCTTCTGTTTGGGTTTTATGGCATATAAAAATTTGCAAACCAAAGTTGTAAAATGGACAGTTTATGACACAGCAGGTAAAGCCACAACTTGGAACCCCAGCATCCTATATTGGAGTGCTGGTTCAAGTCTTGGCTGTTCTGCTTCCAATCCAACTTCCTGCTAATGTCCTAGGAAAGTAGAAAATAATGGCCCCGGTGTTTGGGCCTCTTCCACTCACATGAGAGCCTAGGATGGAGTTCTGGGCTCATGACATGGTCCTAGCTCTTGCAGCTATTTGAAGAATGAACCAGTGGGTGGAAGAGGGATCTTCCTCTCTTTCTATGTCATCTGTCACTCTGCTTTTAATACTAAATTTGATACTAAACTTGATCTTAGCCAAAAGGCCAAATTGTCACTCTGCCTCTGAAATAAATAAATCTTTAAATCACAGGCACACATTATGTAGAGTCCTTGAGATAAATTTACAGCTGTGAAAGTTTGGACTACCAATTTTAGCAGAAATTATAATAGACCTTTCTATATATTTTACTCAGGTTTTTCTTAAATAATAAATTATGGGAAACCTATTCTGCTCTTTAAAAATTGGACAGAGTGCCTGGCATGATGGCTGACCTTGTAAGCCCCAGGATCCCATATGGGCACCATTTCATGTCCCAGCTGTTCACTTCCCATCCAGCTCCCTGCTTATGGTCTGAGAAAGCAGTAGAGGATGGCCCAAAGCTTTTGGACTCTGCACCTGTATGGGAGCTCCGGAATAAACTTCTGGTTCCGGGCTTCGAGTCAGCTTAGCTCCAGCTGTTGCAGCCACTTGGGAAGTAAACCAGAGAACAGAAGATCTTTCTGTCTCACCTTCTCTGTGAATCTGCCTTTCCAATAAAAATAAAATATATTTTTTTAAAAAATCACAACAAAAGTCCAATTCATACTTGATACCATTTTTTCCACTTTAAAACAAAAATTTATGGGGCCCGGCACAGTAGCCTAGCAGCTAAAGTCCTTGCTTTGAACATGCTGGGATCCTATATGGGTGCCGGTTCTAGTCCCAGCAGCTCCATTTCCCAACCAGCTCCCTGCTGCAGGAAAGCAGTCGAGGACATCCCAGAGTTTTGGGACCCTGCACCCATGAGGGAGACCTGGAGGAAGTTCCTGGCTCCGGGCTTCGGATAGGTGCAGCACTGGCCGTACTGGTCACTTGGGGAGTGAATCAACAGACGGAAGATCTTCCTCTCTGTCTCTCCTCCTCCTCGCTGTATATCTGACTTTGCAATAAAAATAAATAAATCTTGAAAGAAAAAAATTTATGGGCAGACTTTTGGCTCAGCAGTCAGGAGGCATTTGACACACTTACATCCCAAGTGAGTTCCTGGGTTTGAGTCCCTCCTTTGCCTCTGATCCAGCTTCCTGTTGATACACACAGTGATAGGCAGCAGGGGAGGGCCCAAGGAGTCAGATCTGTGGTTGGAAGATCTGGACTGAGTTCCCAATGCTGACTATTGCAGGCATTTGGGCAATGAATCAGCAGATAAAAGCTCTTTGTCTTTCTCTCTTTCGGTCACTCAAATAAAATAAAAATGAATAAGAAAATTTGAAATCTCTTGACCTTTTCCCATTTTGAGATACAGAGAAAGATGAGTTAAATAGTATGATTAGAGCAATATCTGTATTTTAACAGATAAAACTATATCAACTACTTTACCCTTCTTGGATATGATATATTAGATGAAAAATGTTTTTATTTTTTAAGAAAATACTTTTTTCCGGTTGCCAGATGTGCCAGCGTGTCGGAATTTCTCTTGGCAGGTGCACATGCTGGCAGGAAAAGAAGACTATAGTGAAGGGATGAGATGCAATGATCAATTGCTTGTGAAGTTGCAGAACTGTCTTGTCCGCCTGTCTGTGTGGCCAGCTTAATCAGACAGAGACAGAACTGATCAATCCCAATCAGATCATCAATTTTCTTTGTGAATTTCATTTACAGAAACAAAGCCAGACCCTATCTTGTCTTCATCTTAGCTCACATGCTCCCTCTGCTGAGAGTGGCAGTCACTGCCAGTCTTCTTAGACAAAAATCCAATGAAGAGGCATGAAAAGGGGGCCAGGCTTCTCTTTGAATTCTTTCTGTTCATGCCCCCACGAGCTGCAGCCCTGCAGTCCTATGAGACACCTGTTCTGATACAGTCTGTTGGAGAAGCACCACCACATCTCATTGTCACATGAAGCTGTGTGACTCACTGCTCTACAGTGGCACAGCAAGACTTGCAATTAGATGCCAAGCTTTTCAGACACCGAGGCCGTGGTGTTAATGGCTCAGGGACAATTAGCAGGCACCACAAAGGACCACTGATTTTATATTTCCATCCATTTACTAGTTTAATTAATGTAATAACAGCAGTCATCAGCAAATGGACTGGGGAGAAGACTTCTGAAAGAAATTTAGAGAAATTTATTTTCATTAACTATTTGCTACAATTTAGAAATGCACTTCCCCCACAATTCAGCTGCTGTAAAAACAAATTAGAATCCACTGGTTAAATTATGTGGGGAAAAAAATCTTTCAGAGACTCATGTTGTGGCACAGTGGGTGAAGCCCCTGCCTGTGACACCAGCATCCAATATCAGAACACTGATTCCAGCCCCGGCTGTTTCACTTCCCAACGAGTTCCCTGCTAATGCACCTATGAGCGCACCGGCAGACGTCCCCAGTGTTTGGGCCCATGCCGCCTACATAGAGACATGGATGGAGTTCTAGGGTCCTAGCTTTAGCCTGGCCGAGCCCCAACTACCACAGCCATTTGGGAAATGAGCTAGCAGATAGATTTTTTTTTCTCAGTTTCTTCCACCCCCCCACCCCCCGCCGTAACTCTGCCTTTCAAGTAAATATCTTTTTCTGAATTTGTTTATCCTCTAGTAATACTCTCCTTTTATCTTTTCTTTTAAAGACTTATACTTTATTTATTTGAAAGGCAGACTGACAGATAGGGGGAAATATAGAAAGAGATCTTTGATCCACTGATTCATTCAGAGCCAGGAGTCTGGAATTCCATCCAGATCTCCCATGTAGGTAGCAGGGCCCCAGGTATTTCAGTCATCTTCCATTGCTTTCCCATGTACATTAACAGTGAGCGAATCCAAAGGCAAGTAACCAAGATTTGAATCATTTCTCTGATATGGGATGCCAGTGTCACAAACGGTGACTTAATCTGATGTGCCACACACACCTTTATCTTTTTCTTAAGCCTAAAATAAGTGCATTATCCCCCATTTTACTTGTGAGGTTTAGTGTTGAATAGCTTCTCCATTAGCGTACAACCATCTGTGAGCAGGAAATAGATTAAGGCCTATCTAATGAAGTAAAGTTATATTATGGCGCCTCAGAACTTGTAAGTCCATATCTAATGGCATAAAGTCCTTACTGTACCTGTACTCTGTGCACAGGCTGCAGTTAAAGTTACAGTGTCAGCAGTACATCATCCTCAATCCATCAGACAATTCTGGAAGTTGATGAGGTCAAACACTTGAAAGCAGAGGTGTCAAGATTAGGTTTCATTGCTTGTAACAGTCAATCCAAATAACAGTGACTTAAGATGAAATATTTGCTAATGCACACCCTGGGAGGCAGTAGATGATGGCTCAAGTGCGTGGGCCCCCACCACTCACATGGGAGACCTGGGTGGAGTTCCAGGCTGCTGGCTTTGAATGAATCTGGGCATTTGGAAAGTGAATCAGCAGATGGGAGATAGATTTCTCCAACCCCACCGCTACCATGCCCCACTGCTCTGCTTTCAAGTAGGTGAAAGTAAGAAATAAGTATAAATATTTTTTTAAATGAGACATAGCTTTGTTGTTCTATTATATAATTGCTGTCTGAAGGACATTCAGGGACTAATGTGGTAGCTGCATGGTCATCAGGAACTCAGACTCCTTCTTTCTTTGAGCTTGACTGTCCTAGCACAAGGTGCCCGGCCACAGGGTCACTTCATGACCTAAGAGGAATTGCAAACAACAGTTGCAGATGCTGGGAAGGCCAGAGGGCTGCAGCTCATCTTACACTCAATCAGCCCTCCGTAAGCAGCCAACCTGAGAGTTGTCATTTTAGCCAGAACTTCCCTGGCCGTAGATGCAGAATGGGAAATACAGCCTCACAGAGACACCACATTGCTGCCCCAGACAAAACTGAAGCTTAAATACTGAGAAATAAGGAGAATGCCTGTTGAGTGGTAAGCCACTGTCTGTGCCAGACTAGGAATGAATGAGACTCTTCACAACCTGTATCTTCTATCTTCTCAAACCATATAGGCAAACGACGAAAATCCAACCCCAAACCCCTTGTTCTGAGTGAAGCTAGAAAGCAGTTAATGATCTACAGACTACCTCAGGTCCTCCGGCTGCACCTTAAAAGATTCAGGTGAGCTTCAGAAGGTGGCTTGCAGGGGGAGGTGGACTGTAGCACACTAGCCCATTTCCTTGAGACCTCACTCCTCCCACGAAGTTGAAATGGTTTCCCTCAAGAAAGCCAGCTGATGTTGGAGCCCAGCGAACCTCACTTGTACTCTCATGCCCTGGCTAGCTGCATCCTGGGTCTGTGCTTCAAGATTTCCCAGCCTCACTGGGGCTTCTGGGGTTTCTGGGGCTTCATCTTCACCGTGAAATGTCAAACAATCAGCTTAGCGCAGGGCAGGCAATAAACCACAAAAGGGTGGTTGCCTGATTTGCTTGTTCAAGAATCTCTAGAGTTCTTCATGAAACTCAAAGCAAATACAGGGGGGCCTTGACTTCCACCTTAAATTAATGAGAATACAAAAGCTGCAAAGTTCTGCGTCATCAGTTCCCTGCCTTATCTAGCACTGCCTGTGGTCACACATGCCAGTTTGTCTAGTAAGGAGTGTATGTCGGTGTTCCAGGTGGTCTGGCCGTAACCATCGAGAGAAGATTGGGGTCCATGTCGTCTTTGACCAGGTATTAACCATGGAACCTTACTGCTGCAGGGACATGCTCTCCTCTCTTGACAAAGAGACCTTTGCCTATGATCTCTCCGCAGTGGTCATGCATCACGGGAAAGGGTTTGGCTCAGGACACTACACAGCCTATTGCTACAACACAGAGGGAGGTGCGTGCGCTTGACTCTGTGGGGTGGGGGACACGGAAAAGGGTTGGTTTGTCCACAGTTGATTGCTTTCCTTTTTATCTTCATCCCACAGGTCATGTAGGGGGAACGTACATACATACTATGGAAAGAATAATGAAAATTAGATTCAGATTTTGGACAATGCACTAGAGAACAAGGTTGCTCTTTGAAAGTAACTGACATGTGTAAAAGTGCTTAAAACAGCGCCTACCCCATAGTGCTTGCTAAGTCAACAATTAGAGATCATTGTGGTAAAGGCAAAGTGTTGGTTTTCCTGACTGCAGGGAGATACTGATGTCCCTCATTAGCCTTGGTGCATAACAAAGCTGAGGGCATTTAATGAGCACTTGTTGTGTCCTTACAGCTTCCCTCACCATGGGAAGTGAGGGACGCAGGGACCCCTCCAAAGGTATTATTGGTTCTTGTCCTCCTGGACGCTGCATTGAGGCAGATGGCTGCAGGTGTGTTCACAGCCATGCACACCCTCTTAAACCCATCACCTAGACAGAGGAGTGGCCATACTGCAGCCTCTGGATACATACATGATTCCTTCCAAATTTCCCTTTATCGCCCTCCACTACTTCCAGGTCTCCTTTCCTCCATGCCCCCTTCCCATTGTGTAGGCCCTGATACCTTGGCCATCTTTGTACAAGGCTCTAAAGGACCATGAAAAGCCAGAGTAAAATGAGGGCAAGTGTTAGGGGATACAGCAATGTGCTGGGCGGGTTGGTGCAGCCGAAGCCAGTGGTCATGGGGAAGCCTGTTGGCCTCACTTGTCCCTTCCCTGACACCAATAAGTAAGGTGTGGCACCTTACAGAACAGCTCTGTCCCTTTCTTCATCTCTTGGTTTTGCTTGCTGACAAAAAATAGAAGTTGAGTAGTCATTCTCTCTCTCTCCCTTCTTTGATTTCCTAGGTTTTTGGGTCCACTGCAATGACTCAAAGCTGAATGTATGCAGTGTCGAGGAAGTATGCAAAACCCAGGCCTACATCCTTTTTTACACTCAAAGAACAGTGCAGGGCAATGGAAGGCTCCCAGAAACCCACCTCCAAGCTCAGGTGCAGTCCAGCAATGGCGAAGGCAAACCCCGGGCGTTCCCCTGAATGGGAGGCGTGTGTCAAAGACTGTATTGCTTTCAAACTAATGGTGTCTATACATTGCTCCTCATGTAGGAAATAAGGCCTGCTGCAGGAACAGCTGACTGGGTTTGCCTCCCTTGGTCTAGAGTGGAAGGTGCCAGGGGATCCAGGGCCTCTCCTGAGATTTGGAGCTACTTTCTTTTGAATGGATTTGGGAATAACTTCTATGAAGATCCTTTCATCTGTCGCTTCTGAATTTAGAAGGATCTGGGTAACAAGGGAGCAGCATGATCGTGTCCAGCCAGGAGGGCTGGATCCAGCGTGCGATTCCCCTGCTCATCAGGACCTCCCTGCAGCACAGCAGAGCCTTTCCTGAGTGAGAAGTCCTGGCCAGAGCGTAAGGAGGGCCCTGGCTGGGAGTGCTTCCAAGGCGGGCAGTGAAGTGTAAGGATTTATTCCCACAAGACTTGAAGACTTCCTTTTATAGAGGATAGCAGTTGAAGAATGAGAGGCACTGAGCAAATTTCTCCATGAAAAAATGGGAGGTTTTCACATGCCATTCCTTCCCTACCTGGTGCTATTACTTTATCATTCCACATTTCTGAAACGGGCATGACCATCCCTTCATTCTAAAGGGGCAGTTCATCTAAGGAAGCAGAGTACAAGTACTAGTCTTGTACTTTGCTGTGTGGTGGGCCATAGGGCACTGGCTCCTGATTCTCCCTGCTCTATAGCAGATCCCTGATTCAGGTCTAGAGCAAACATATTGTCTGGTTTAAACTTGGCCTTAAGCCTCTTAAGGTTTTCTCAAAACTCAATTGAGTGTGGGCGGGGACAACCACTGATCCAGAGCTTACCTCAACGTCTGTCACCTCTGTTTATCTTGGTGCAGCATGCAGCGTCTTTCTTGTACCTAGACAGCTGAAACAGTCATGTTCTCAAGGTCCCCCAGCTATTGCTGTCCCAAAGCAACCCACTCCATCCTGCCCAACAGTCTATTACTGATGGCCACCACTGGTTCCCTCCCAAGTCTCAATTCCACCTGTTCTCAGTCCTTCAGGGAAAAAAGCAGGAGTGCACCGCCTTTTATCCCAGTGCTAGTAATGTGCATCTGTTTAAGTCCAGATAGTTTCTAAGTGGGATGAAAGTGTCCAGACAAAACCAACCCCTCCTCACCATCAGGCACCACTGCGATGCAGGTGCACCAGGCTGGCCTGGGCTTGCTGCAGGGAGGCTCAGCCTGCCATGCATAGTGCTCATCTCCTGACTGAGTGTACCATGTTAATGTTTGAATTCAGGTAGAAGGAAGTAGTGTGGAACAGAGTTGGGGACAGGGTGGGCAGTGGGGGAAACCAGGCAAAAGTGAGGGCTATAGCTTTAGCAGATATTGATGAGCCCGTTTCCCAAACAGACCAGTAGCATTTGCTGTTGACCTCTTTTTGAAATGAATTCTCCCATAGGACTTACCAGACAGCACTGAGACATGGAAGAAATTCAGACAGAAACTAATTCACCCTGATAGGGAAGGAGTGACTATGTTTTAAATTAAACTTGCTTTTTCCAACACTGTGAGGTTTCTGTAATATTTAGCTTTTATTTGGAAGCGATAGCGTATGGCATATTTTATGCTGTTTGGTTTATATTATCTACTGCAGGATTCTTTATATAAGCTTTGCCTGGGCTCACCCTCTCCAAGACACTGTTTTAAAGTGTCACAGCTGCCCATGCTGCCCAAGGCTCTCATAGGACACTGTTCTTAAAACCCGCATTTGTAAGTCAGCAGGACTAGTGATGACTTCTTGTGGCAACTGAAAAGCCCATCAACTCAGAAACACCAAGAAGAATGAAGACAAAAGCAAACCACGAGTTGTGCCTCATCTTTCAGTGAACCCTACATTTATTACTCTGAAAAAGGAGAACTTACCAGAAAGCTAATAGAGCATCTGCTTCACCCTTTAAGCTGTCCAAGGGGAAATACTAAGAAACACAGGCGTTTAATGGAACACTGGAAGATAAAATGACTTTTACAAATAGTCTTAATGCCAAATATTATGACTATTAAGCAGATTAAACATATTGTAAAATGAGTGCTTAAATTAGCTGAGTGCCCATGTATCAGTTAAGCCAGTGAAATGTTTTACATCGAGTTGGAATAGAAAGGACAGCAATGTCGCCAACAGAGCCCACCCTGTGAAGATCCCACTGCAGTCACAGACACCTCAGGTCCCCAGAGGCAGCAGCACCAGACACTGTTACAAAGTTAGTATTTAAGGAGATGTTTATTAAGAGTTCCCTGCCACATAAGCCAATGACTATTGGTAGGGAAACGTCCCTTTGCCTTTAATTTATTTACATTCTGAAGTAGATGAATGTCTCAGTTGCATCTTAGGTTAAACTGAAAATAGTCTGAAGAGCTGAACATAAGAACCAGTTAGGAGTTGACTGTATTCTGCCCATTCAACCCCAGGATCACCTGATGAACCTCAGCAGGCCTGTCTCTCCCCCAGGGCAATGAGCCAGGAGTCCTGTTCCAGGAACCCTTGGCAATTGGCTGGCATGTTTACTGCTACTGTGACCAGCCCAGATGAACGCACCCTGTCCCTCCCCATCCCCCAAAAGCAGTTATACCTCAGTCCAGCTTGATCCTCACCCTTGTGGGTTTTGCATCCTGGAGGGTATCCAAGTTAATGTAAAACAATAGGCATGAGCTCGGCAGCCAGGAACCGAAGCTCATGGTCAATGGACAGGGCTCTTGCCAGCTTTGATCCAGCCCCTTATGCTGAGGGTGGAGGTAACACCACACTGGGAGGAATTCCAAGATGTCTCTTACAAGGTCATGAACAAAACTGGAAACCTATGTTAATGTGTCCTATGGACTCAATAGCAGAGTTTATTTTTGTTTTTAATGGCAAGGCTCTGGAGCCAATGATTGTATGAGTTTCCTACTCTGGCTCTGCTTACAGCTCCATCCAAGTACCAAGGAAGAACCAATGAGGTGGCTTGGCTGGCAGTGGGGCGTGTCCCAGTGTAAGGCCAAGAGGGCAAGAGGGGTGCAGAAGAAAACTTGGCTGGGGGTGGGGAGGGTGGGGGTAGTGGAAGCGGAGGCGGGGAGGGGGGCAGGCAGGGAGCAAGAAATGGAATTTTACTTATTGATAAAGCTTTGTGAAATAATTTTATACAATTCCTAAAATTTGGTGCCTTGTACCCAATTATGGTTTGCATGGGATTGAAAAGATTAAGGAAAAGGATTCCTTTCTTTTGTCATTTCAAGTGGCAGATGAGTCTGTATAGTGTTTAAAGGACATTTGGTGTCAGAAACTTTTTGAAAAGTATTTCTTAACTCTGTGTGTGAATGCAAAATTATTCTTACCAGCAAGTTCTGCAGTGTCATTGTGATCCCCAAGGTCTTTGTCTTTGAGATTGGTCACCTCACGGCTGCTCTTCTAGGCAGACCGTGGACCCCTTATCTTTCACAAGCCTTTTTGTTCCACGTTAGCTCAGGCCCTTTTTGATCAGCAAGGGAGGCCCTTTCTAACTGTAGACGGCATCTCTAGCTGGGACTGTGTCTTGCTTCACCAGCTGGTTGGAAGAGCACAAAAAAAAAGGCTTTTTGGTTTTTATGCAAATGATAACTGATGCTGGGCAACTTAGGATAGAAGACAGACACAAAAGGGTACCTCTGAAGTTTTGCACAAAATGTCAGGAAGTAGTGTAGAAAACAATCCCCTGTAATGTGTGAACTTTAGATTGTAAGGAAGCCAGGGCACTGTGATCTGCAAAGGTGACCATGGGAGGGAAGGCGCAGGCTCTGACTCGCCCCCACAGGGGCTCCCTAGGTGCCAACAGGCTTTGCGAGGTGCTGAAACCTGGTGTGCTCTCACTCACTGCAGGGCAGGACGCAGCCTGTTTTTTTTCTATTCCAACCTTGAGTTTTGTACCACACACCTGACTTTTTCACCTAACGGTGTATACGGAGCGCACCTCTTAAAAGCACACTTGATAATTGGGTCCCTCGGCCTCATTACTGCCCAATTAGACGTTTCTCCACACGGCCACTTGGGTTTTGGTTGTGGAACCCGGTAAGTATGCATCCATCTCCCTTCTGACTTTATATTCCTGTTAGGGATCACGAGTTTGTATCTTCCATGTCTGACAACCACTCTGCGACCCCCAGGGACTCAGCCCACATACCTGCACACATCACACCTGTTCTAGCACCAAGGCAAGCACTCATTTTTGTGGGCTCTTTCTGTCTTTAGCTTCTGCTTAAAATCTAAGTAGCTCAAGAATTTTCACACTGTGCTTGTGTTAACTAGCCCAGGCTGACAAATATTGACAGGATGTAAAACTGACTTCCCATGGGGAAAATGTCATGTTGGCCATGATGAAAGCCAGCACCTTCACTTTCATAACTGATTATTCATCAAAAATATTGACTCTTGTTAGATTCAAATTACTACATCACCAAGGAATTAAGTCAGTAAATGAAACATTAGCCAAACCAGCATTATGGCTTTAAAAACCCACCGAAAACACTAGCACTTGAAGCTAAATCATTGCATTTTGAGAAACTTGTATTGGGCTTTTGCAAACTGCTATGTCCTTCCTAATGCAGGCTGGATTTGCATTTTCAGACTTGGAAATCTTACTAAATTAAACTTTTCACACCAGGGAATAGATCAGGAAAAAGACCTGCAGGATCTAAGTTTCCTTGCTGTAAGGCCTGGGAAGTACTGCTATTTCTTGTCAGTAGTTTAGCATCTATGCCATGACTTGTAAACTTCCTTCTGGTCACCACTGGAGGGGTTGAGGGCTTCAAGTGTAAGCTCTGTGGTCCCGCATGTGGACAGTTAGCTTGGACCCCTGTCTCCAGTGTGGACGGCAGAGGTCCTTCAGCCTGAAATGACAGAAGCTCAAAACTCCATTCACTTATCAGGACAAATCTGATACAAATACAAGAGAAAGGTGGGTTTTTTTTGTTTTTGTTTTTAACATATGTTAATCCAATTCTCAACTTGTTTAGTGAGATCTATACTGTTTGGTGAGTACACTGGGAGAAGCAGCCTCTGTCAACTGTAATAGTAGGCTGCTGAAAGGAGCCCAACCTGCCTTCCAAGTCATGTCCTTTAACCCCGCACCAGCTCTAAAGAGCTGGCACATAAAAACTTTTTTAAACACCTACTAGTAGAAGTTCGTGGGGGGAGGGGGGACCTGCCCCAGGGACCCTGTCTCTGTCTTTCTAGAGCTTTCTGAGTCTTTCCATGTCAGTCCCTTTACATTTTTAATTTCCAAAGACTGCAAAGCCTCAGGTAGTGGTACTACCTAGAACTTAGGGTTAAAAAACACCTAAGTGTTGGCACAGGAGGCAGCCTCCTCAGCAGTGGCACTGTATAGCCACTGCCTTCTGCCACACCTTTCTCTTGCAGCAACGAAGCCCCCGTGCACTTACAAACTATGCAACACCCAACGGTTGCTCCCCCCAGCACCACCCCACAGTGCAAACGTCTCAAGGACAAGCTCCGTGCCCAGGCAACATCAGCACAGGATGTTTTACCATTTCCGTTTCGTCTTTCTTTTTGAAATGAAGCAAACCATCTCCATTACAATCCAGGTTTAGATCTTGTCCCTGATTGAGTATGAAATATAAATCACGTTTTTATGATTTTTGTAAATCTTGACTTTTTACACCTTGTTTTTTGTAAGCAGAAGTTTCTTATTAAAAGAAGAAAACGGCTGTCCTTGTACGCAGTCTTTATTTCACATATTGGTTAAGACACCATCATCACTCCTCAAGACGAGGCGGTGCAAAACCGCAGGGACCACGTCCAGGATGTTACAGAGCAGACGCAACACCCTGGCTGCAGCCTGGCCGCCCACCAGAGAGCAGAGTGCTGAGTGGACTCAAGGAAGAGCAGGCAGGGAAGGGGAGGCTCCCCACAGCACCCAACCTGAGCTGCCATCCAGGCGTGTCACAGATGGCTGACTGTTTCTGGAAGGTCCGAGTACAGCACAGCAATTCCATTTGTCTGCAATCAGACAACAGGACACAACAGGCGATATTAGGCAAGTAAGGCACTGGAGGGAACTGGTTAAGAGATCTTGAAATAGAACATCAAGTCTCTCCTACATGTTTTCAGCAAGCCCCCGTCTCTAGGATTCCTACAGCATGCAGAGCTGTCAGTGCTTTTACCTGCTCAGCTACACCCCTGGCTGGGGTGCCATGAGGTCGATGTCACTCAAGTTCCTGGCCAGCCACACGCCTGCAGCAAAAAGTCCCAAGTTGAGGATCAAGTTCCTGAAAATAACAATGTGTTCCATTATTCAGCAGCTTTGTAGCTGAGCCTCACCTCCTTCCTGAGGTGTTACAAGAGGTCGCCCAAAACTCACACGGGAATCTGGAGTTCATTTCCATGCCTACCAGGGGAACGATCAAACGCAGAGACCAATTCAACCCTAGGCCAGCACCCAAAAGTCTATTTACATATTCCCGTGCCTTCTCTTACTCAGTCCCCCTAATTAGTTTCTTACCAAGTATGAGATTGCTTTAGCCCCGACCCCACAAGGGAACTCTCGGTCAAGGACCCCAGGAAAGGCCACCATGTGGGCAGTGGGTTGAGCCAGCCGAGCAAGGAAGGGGAAAGGCGAGAGACGCACCACGACACCTGGCTCAATTACCTCCGGAAATCATTCCTGTCAGTAGCGAAGCGGTAGACGCCCCGAAGCCAGTCTCCCACGTTGTCGGGGATTTCGGGAGCCTCGTTCGCGGACCCGGAGGGCTTCCCAGCCCCGCTGCTGGAAGCCATAGCAGCAACCTCCGGCACGCAGCCCTGGCCCTGCAGCACTGCGCTCGCTGCAGCGGCGCCACCACAACGCAACTTCCGGCCCCGCCCTTCCGCCGGCAGAGCGCGCGGCCCATGTCGGACGCCCCGCCTTCCCGGGCTCCGGCTCTGCAGCCGCCGGCCACCACACGCGCTGAGGACGATCGCTTCCCGAGCTCCGGGGTCTGCCCCGGCCTCAGGGGGCTGCCCGGAAAAGCGTAGCTTTGGGAGGCGGAATGGGGTTCCCAGAAAAAGTCTCCATCGAAAGTCGTAGAACGCGCGGCGCTTACAGAGGGCGCACCCCAAGTTTGTAAGCTCGCCGCCACTACTCCGGCTTGTCTCCGAATTCTTTCACCCTACGAGTTTACTAAGGGAAGGAGCGCCTTTTTCTCTCGCCTTACAGGATCGCTCCCACCCTATTCTCTGCTGGGCCACTAGGAAAGGGTGCAGTGCTTCCTAGGGGTGTCGTTGTCCCTCGCTTCGGGGCGTCCGGGGGCATTTCGGGACCGGGGAAGAGGCTGGCCGAAGAAAAAGCCTTCTGGTTCTGAGTCCGAGGAGGAGGAGCAGGTGGAGCAGGGGGCATCCTCTTTGGGATCACGGGGCATCTGCAGTCGGTCTTGCCCCGATTTTGAGGGTCCCTCGGCCCCAACTTGGCACTGTGGCTCTTCCGGGCAGGATCCTAGCAGCCCCTGCTGGGCCTCCAGGTTGGAGCTGGCGACGAGAAAGGGTGTTTCGTGGCTGCTCAAGGCGTCCAGCGAGGTGCCATCCCTCCGTTTGCTCCCGTCGGGTCCCGCCTCCCCTGGGGAGGGGCAGGTCAGAAACGCTCACCCCTGGGACTGACATTTGGGGACCCAGCCTCCCGCCCCGCCCCCGCCAGTCCTCTCGGGGGGTCCCCCGCCTCTCCCGCTTCCGCCCACCAGAGGGCGGCCGCGTCCCCCTCCCGGGAGCCAGCCCGGCGCCGCAGCCCCGACCGCGGCGTGGGGTGGGTCCGGGAGGCCCTTGGAGCGCTCCGGCCAGGGACGCGCGGTGAGAGCTGCGGGCCCGGAGGCTCGCGTCCGGGGGAGGTGGGGGGCACGGTGGAGAGGGAGGGGCGGGGGGCGCTGCTGGAGGGAGGAGATAGCGTGGGACCAGGGCGAGGGTCTCAGCTCAGGGCGACCCCCCACCACAACCCCAAACTACCCCCACTGCGGCTCGGATCTGCACCTTCTTCCCACCCCCCCATACCAAGGGTCGCCAGCCCTTCCAGGGGCCTGCTGGAGCCCGCATCCGAGTAACGGCTCTCAAAGCAACTGGGACAACAGGGGCTGCCCCCCGGCAGGGCATAACGGCCTCCACACAGGGGCCCGGCGCAGTCCTGGCAGCAGAAGTGGTTCTCGTGCCAGTGCCGTCCCTCCGCCTCGGTGCAGCGCCGGGAGAAGATGAGCTAGAAGAGGGTGAGCCGAGGGGTTTGTTCATTCATTCATTCATTCCCTCATTCATTCATCCAGTAGCCACGCCTTAAACCCAGTTAACGCCAAAGCACGTCTACAGACATCCCCATGTGATCGGTTGCTCTCAGGCGCGGGGAGGGCTGAGTGGCTTGGCTAGGATCCCACAAGCGACAGGTGGCACGGCCCCAAATGCCTGCGACCCTGGCTGGTGACCTTGGCTGCTGCCTCTTACACTGACAGACAGAAATGGGTCTTCCAGCCCCATCCCAAAGACCAAGTGGAATTCTAAGAATCCTGAGAAACTGCACCCAAGAACTTGGAAGGACTCTGCTTGCAGTGAGAGAGCAGCAGAGTAGGGAACAGTCTGCATGCCCAGAGGACAGGCTGGGCCCTGAGGCTGGTTTTTACTCCTTTCTTCCTTGCTCCCCCATACAGCCTAGGAGGCCACCCCATAAGATCCTGCCCTGCTGGATGGTGGCCCACCCAAAGCTCTGCCGCCCACTCCATGCTGGACCTGGTCACAAGCTGGGCAGCGTGGTCGCAGCAGTTCGGCGTGATGTCGGCCACAGTAGAGATGCCCATCGTGGTAGAAGTAGATGAGGTTTATCAAGGCCTGGCCGCAGACCTGGCAGGCAAAGCAAGGCCGATGCCAGCAGTGCCGCTCTCCTGCCCGGGCCGCAAACACCCCGTAGTCCCCTGGCTTCAGCTGCTTCCTGCACTGTCGGGTGGCCACATGGGACTGGTCAGAGCTGGAACCCTCCTGGCTTCCTGTTCCCCGCCCGTACCTTTGTCCCTCTCAACTCCAGCCTGTCCACCAAAAACTCTCCAGGTTGGTGCCCCTGTTGCCAATAGCTGCCACAGTCCCAGAAGGAGGGCCCAGACTTGCTTTGGGGGGGTGGTTCTCCAAACCTTCTCACAGGTATATCCTTCCAGCTGGGGAGGGACCAGGCGGGCCACTCCCTGCCCCAGGGCCTCCTGTTTCCGCTGGGCATGGAAGAGCTGCAGCTCAGCCTGCTCCTCCTTCCCAAGGGCCAGGCAATAGCGCTCCTGTGGGACACAAGCCTTGAGCTAGCAAGCATGGGGCCGGCTGAACAGAGGGACTTATAGCTGCTTAGAGAAAGGCCACAAAACCCCAGGGAAGTGAGGGCACTAAGCGAATCATGGAAATGAGTGCTCCAAAGGCCACCTCCACCCCACCCCACCCCACCCTGGTCTCACCCAGGGTCCAACACTCTGAGCACTTGGCCCTGTCTCCACATTTCTGGTCCTTGCACTCAGTGACAGAGTCCGGCATCAAGTTCCACTCATCTGCTTTCTCTAATACCTCCCCAACTGAAGCGTGAGCCTTGGTCTGCTCAAACCACCATGCTGCACATCAGAGCATCCCACAGCCAGGCACCAAAGCAGCTCACATCCATTGCCCATTTGCTCGAAAACAAGCCACCACAGAGTATGCATAGCCGATGTGACAATGCCAATTGTGCAGATGGGACATCGGGGTGACTTTGGGACCCAGGTTCTTTCCCACAGTGAGGGAAGCCAGGGCCAAGGGAGAGGAGACAGGGCAAGTGGGATGGGACCCACGTCACTGTCTTGTGGGGGCAGTTGTTGCAGGAGGGTCCGGAGCTCGGGCCAGCTGCAGGCTTGGTGGGTGTCCAGACCACGGGGACCTGAGCTCAGAGCTGCAGCAGCCTGAGGAGACAGCAGACAGGGAGGGGTTGCTTGGCTCCCCTGCACGCCACGGCCACCCTCCCCTCCCGTGCAGAGCAAATTCTGAACATCCATCTCTCCACCCCTGTCGGTGTTGGGAGGCTCTCCCTGCCTTCCCTGATCCTTGCTGAGTGCAAGCCTTGACCCCTGCCTACACCCCTGCTTGCAAGCAGCCTCCCTTCTTATGCCCCAAACCACTCCTAGCTCCTCAGAATCAAAGCTTTGAAGATGTAGCCCACCCCTCCCCCCTTGGAAAGTTCAGGGTCCTCAGGAGGCGGGAGAGGAAGGAGCTCCTGAAAATCAAAGGGTGCAAGGGCATGGTGCAAGTATAGAGGCAGCCACCTCCCAGCAAAGGGCAGGGAAGAAGAGAGGCAGCACCCTGAGGGCCTCAGAACGCCCCCAGCAGCCCTCTTACCGCCCCAGGATGGTCCTCAGGGTCAGGTCCTGGGAGTTGGTCCAAGTCACTGTCCCTGCTGACTACTGGTAGGCCTGGCTCCCCAGACATCAGGCTGGCCTCTGACATTGCTGGCAAAGGCTGCTGGAGCACCAAGAAGAATCCTTCCTTACCAGGAGCACTGTGGAGGCCTTCCCAGGCACTGCCTGTCCTGGTCCTCCCAACAACCACACAGTCTACATGGCATTGTGCCCATTTCCCAGGAGGGTAAGCTGAGGACCAGTGAGCATGAACTATACACCCAAGGTAACAGAAGCAGAGCTTTCAGCCTGAGAGTTTCCAAAATTCAACCCTCTGGGTTCTCCCAAGAGTGAGATGGAGGTGGAGAGGAGGCCTGCAACAGGAGAGCCCCTGAACTGCCTGTCCTCCCCCCGCCCCTGCCTGGTCCTCCCCTCCCCACCCCAATGACCCCCCAGGCTAGTAGGTAGGAGGGAGAGCAGGCAGAATGGGACCAGAGCTCCTAGCAGATATACACACATTCTGGCAAAAACAAAAAACCCAACCCCAGCAAACTACTCTATGAAGCCAGGGACTGGGCTACTACTTTATGTACTGTAGGCTGTCCTCCGTAATCTCCATTCTCTTCTGCAGTTGAAATAAACTGGAATCCACTGACTTGCCCAAGACCACACTAGACCACAAGGGGAAGCAGTAGGAAGAGGGTCCCCCTGCCCCTCCCCAGCAGAGATGTGGATTCTGACAGCACTAGGCACTGGAGGCCATCTTCAAACCCCTGGTGCCCTTGGGCTGGGGCCAGCATTGCACCCTAACAGTTAATACTCTTTGTTTCCCCAACTCTGAACCTCCCACCCCACCCCTGCCGCCCTTCAAATGTCCTGTGCCACCCTCCCTCCTTCCTGGCTCCACACCCACCTGCTTCCTTCCTGTTCTGTCCCTCAGGTCAGGTTTCCTGTGGAAGGTGGCCAGGATGGGCTGCTCACTTGCAAGGCTGGGAGTAGCCACTCCGCCTAGCAAACAGCACTCTCCCTGCTCCAGGCAGCAAGGGAGCTGGTGTGGCATCTGAAGTCCCACGGGGCGATCTGCACCCTCTCCCAGCTTAGCTCTAGTTTGCAATCCAATTGTCCACCTGCCACCCTGCACCCTTCCGCCTTCTCCGCCCCCACCCAGCACCCCTCCTTCCTTCCTACCACACCCCCCTCCTCGCCCCCAGCTCCCAGCGACTGGCCTGAACTCCCTCTCCCTCTCCAAACAGGTGCAGCCGCGCTCAGGGGCTCCACCCCCGCAGCCCACCCGCAAGAGGAGAGCCCTAGGGGCCAGAGGGACTGGGGCTCAGGAGGTGCGGGAAAGTTCCCGGGGACAGCAGCGAGAGAAGCGTGGGCAGCACCTGGTCCCGCCAAGGACTGACCCTTCCACACATTTCCCAGAGTCAACAACTTGGGAGGGTCCACTTTCTGCAGTGAATTTCTCGTTCCCCAGGGGGAAGGGGCTGGGTCTCCGCTGGGC